AAGAAAGTTGATGGAGATATTGTCACCTGAACACCGGCAACATGTCGAATTGAACTATCCAGGAACATTTGTTTCGTGCTTGACAAAATACTGCCCAGCAACATCCAAGGCGTCGAGTACTACGCTCGTCCCATACAGTATTATGGATCAAAGGAGATCCAGTGTGTTATGTCTGATTCTTAGAGCGATGCGGAGCAATGAAGAATTATCTATAAACCGCGTCAGCAGTTACATTGCGTAATCCAAAAGACACTGGAAAGAACAGACCTTTTCAAAGTTTTTGCATCATTATCGTAGTGCAGCGCTGATTCTTTTGTGACGGGAAACCCACCGTTGTATTTCGTCATGCAGTTCCTTCGCCATCGTCAGATTAATAGAACCAAAACTACACCGCCGTCCAGTCAACTGCGCCTGGTCACCTCAAGTGTTGATGGTTGTGTAGCTGGGGGCTGAACTGTAGTGCAGCCAAGACAGTAAGCGAACCTCTTCAAAATGTGAGCGATGTCCAACGTTGTGTCGAGCTGAAAACAGGTTTGATGTTTAGTGGTGTGAACCAAGATATGCTCGCGGTTCTAAGCGACATTGATCTGGAAAAGGGCGAGGAGACTAGTCCATCTGCAAACCATCTTCTTATTTGTCCGCTTGTGAGACAGGTATTAAAGCTAGTCTGTCCATTTTAGCTGATGGCAGTTAGCGGAAAAACTCTTTGTGTCTGACTTCTCGGAACGGCTTACAACTGACCCATCTGAAGCATGAGAACCTGCGATAATGACTGGAACATGGTAGTATCAGATGTATTAGTGCCTCTTCGAACCGGTAGGACTGGCAATCGTCAATTGTAACTGCAAGGTTTGCTCGGATTGGGTAGCGCTGACCATGGAAACAACATGGACCATACTGTCGGTTTTTTGGATCATTGCAAAATTATGCTCAACCGCTCACACTGGCATCAAAGGGGTCGGCCCATACTTCTTCAAGGGGCACAGCGGCATTCACCTTTTGCATTCCAGACGTACGGAGGGCACCAGCTGAGTCTTAGTCCGTTCTACATTGGACGGAACCAATTTTTGAGCCAAGCACTGTCATGAGGACTGTGCACTCCTTCCCACTCAGCAACGATTCACAGTCTCCTAGAGCCAGTAATTGAGGTGAAGGGCATTAAACGGGCAGGCATTTTGTCAACATTCACATCTAGCGCAACCAGGTATTGCATATTACACGAACGTTTTCATGTGTCAAGTGCACATCCGGCAGACATTCAGTCGAGTTTGGACTGACTGAGACGACAGAGCACATCATATACTTCATCAGCCCCGATCATGGCAACTGAACAATGGCAGTTCGAATCCAGCATATCCGTGTTCGTTCACATGTATTTGTCCATCCTTGCCTCTGAAATACCACAAACGGAATGGAAAAACGTTACTTCTCATGGACAATAATACCACGAACGTGCATGGGTTTAGATAGGAGGTAAGCCCAACCGCCATTTCGACGTGTTATTGGAAATCGCACGTACGAGAACAGGTAAACAATTGGAACAGTCGGTGGTTACTTAAGTTATAGACGTGAACCTTAAGTAACCTCCTTAAATTTAATCAGAAGCGTGAGCACCAACAAAAGATCGATACAGATATGGGGATAGGGAAGCAAATGCCATCAACACGATTGCCTGGTGGAATGATACAGTGAAACAGTGCCGATGTATCGCTAGTCTGCGTAATAGATGCCGTCTTCTATATGTGAATTATGGATTGCAACTTGTCGTGGTCGCACGGTGAGAATGTGAAGGCGTGTTAACTGCAATCCCTCCGTGTCACCACAGCTTAAGACCGGTCTGGTCCGATCGTCTCCTGTCCGAGTTATATGCCGATTCCCGAAGAACGTCTCTTACTCTAACTTAAGCATTGGCAGTTGGTAATAACGCACATTCGCTGATGGCCTCTTTGACGCGACCGCAGCATTATTACATCAAGTAAGTCCCGCTGCCCACTGTCAAACCTTCAGCTTACGGAAAGATTTTCAACAGTTAAGCAAATGTCTAAGAAGTAGCTTGACTGTCATCCAAGTACTCAACCGGTGGCAGATGTAGCTGTGTACTCTTGTGTGGCGATAAGCTATTTGATAACGACCTGTCATCGTATGTCTCAGGTGCAGCCCTTCGGCACTCCTAAACAATTGTCGCTGGGCGTTGATTACTTTCCGATGAAATATACTGAGGCACTAACGTACCACCACAATTGACCTTACCTTCTACCCGGAAAATTGACCATTTCTAATTAAAATTCCAGCAGGCGCTTCTGCTTTTCCGCCTATAACCCCGATAGTAGCCGCCTTTTCATAAGCTCAGATAAATTCAGTATGGCGGACGAACAACTGAGAATATAGCTATACTCACTCTCATGATTAATATGTGAAACTAAGTATGAATCATTAACATCATCACACTAATCGCTGGTCAGTTACTTGTCGGAATCGTTCAATTTCTACGAACTTTCTAAAGCGACATTTTTGGGTTGCATGGTTCAATGCGGGTATGCGAAGGAACCTTGTACTCCAAAGCTCAAAGCTTACACCAAAGCCACGAAGAGTTGTACTTCTGGGTACTGTAAGCGGTTGAGCGTTTGGAGCCTTTAATTCACACGTACCTACCACACTAAAAACGGCTAGACCGGAATTGGAAGTATCCTCAATAATTTGCAAGCCCAATACAGATTCTCACAAACGAACTTACTTCGCTGAAAAAACAGCGAAATGGTTCCAACTGATACACATACACACATGCCTACTGCGGAGAGGTCATAGATGGAGTGAACCTTTATCCGGCTGTAAATCAGCAAAAGCACGGAGTCAGAGCTTGTTCCTTCGAGAGCGAGAGGCCTATCGTTTGCAGAACGCCACCAGCAGTGATTGTAGTTCCAGACTCAGCTCGAGTTTGACCCTAGGCTAGATGAGGATAAGAATGTGGAACAAGGAATCCAGTACCGTTATGGGTTGGGTTTGATTGACAGCCTTTTGGCACTGTAGTGACACAAAATGTTGACTTAGGCAGTGATCGATTAATGCGGGCATAGACCGTGGTCATCTGGAGCAGTGAGAATGTGTTCATCCACCTTGGGTGCTTTCATGCTCACTGTCAGCGCTGCATATTCGGCTGCATATTCTGACGGCTTGCAAATACAGCTAACCTTTTCGTGATGGGAACAAGTAATCGCAGTAGATGACAACATGTTAATTGCAAATATAGCCCTATCGCACTGATAACGGTAGAATAAACAGTATGGAAAGCAGCCGGATTACCTGCTTTATTAGCATAGTCCCACACACAATTTTGATTATGACTGTGGGCATAACGTTTCTTGACGAATCAAGGCATTACACTTTCCTAAAAATTATTTATATAATTTTTAAACTCTGATGTTATCGGTTCCAACCTATTACTGTTTGAACTGCTACTGGGGCAATCTTGTGTTTTCAATGAGAGAATTCCTCTAAGTTATCTGAACCAACGACTAGACATGTCATCCGATGGTCTTGACAACGCTACCTCAGAATGCAACGACCGTACTTACTTAAATATTTTCGATGATCTGCTCCCCCCACACCCGTCTGCTGTGACTTGGCATGCCGGCATGGCTAGTTTCATTCCTCTCTCTCATCTGCTTGCAGTTGTGTATTGAAATGCAACGATCGCAGCAGGTGGTGAGTGGTATCCTATTTTTAACGAAATATTTGTGTCCTTTCTTTTCACCGTGCTTTCACCTTGGTAAGCTTTCATATATAAATGATAGACACTGTCTACAAACCTAACCATGTATTCTGCAAAATTACCATACCACACCGCCTCGGATCATACCCCCCTTGGCTTGGGAGTTCGCCTGGTATCTAATCGTCTTATACCTAGAATATTCGATGATTGGTTTAGTTAAGACAGAACAAAGTTCAGATTAGTGCAATAGTTTGCCTCGCATATAACAACCTCTTTTGCTAACTTGCAACCATTCCTTTTTAGGTGAGACACTTTTCTTCAGTGGCACGAACTACTACGTCTTCGACAACGTGGCGATGCGTGTGCGTCCCGGATACCCGAAGCCGGCAACCTTGGGCATTTTGGGCTGCTTGCGAAACGAGTAGCCATTGCAACCTGGTCAATCTTTATACTGTTGAATATTTCTGCCATTGCACTCGCAGTTATCTTCGCCAAATATCTGTGAATATAAAATATGTTTGATTGACTCGGTTGAGTTAGCAATGGGTGGGGGAAAAGTCTCACAGAATTAACTGTACTTGAGATGAAACCCTTGGTGAGCAATAAAAAACTGTTTCTCACATCGTTGCTTTGTAAGCTCGACACTATCGCGGAAACAATCTTGAAGCTTGCTTTGGAGGGTACGTTTGCAGCTGGCGTACGCACCATGCGGCCTTGCGATAAGATTGCTGAATGGGAACCGGATTCGCAGTTTTTGCATGATAACCGTGAAACGCGCACACAACGCGCATCTGGTATGTCAGCTAAATGCAACTACTGGTGTGTTCCCAATAGCGATGCTAAATTCTGTTCCACATTCCACGATGAAGCTCTTATGTTACGCTTCGATTTGTAAATGGAATAAATGAGGAACTGAAGAAACAAAGTAATATTTATTTCCTAACAGTGCGATAGGCTATTCCTACGCTCGGACAGGTCGTCAGATAAGCAATTGCTTTTCTCATAAATGAGCTTGTCAACAAATAAAATACAGCACGTGGTGTTAGAAGTTGGTTCTTCATAGAGTTAAACTGCTGGCTGCTTCATCTTGTCTGTTTCGGATAGCGAACGAATGTTCGTATTTCGCAGCATGACACGCCGAAGGATCACCTCGCCATGCTCAGGTGCACATAATCGTAACCGTGGCTGTTGAGAACGCTGAGCACAAACACCATAAACCCTCGAACTGCGGAACATGAAACTTCGCTGGAACATAATATGTAGAAGGAAGCGGTAGACCGAAATCACCTGTTTTAAACTTGCAGTATAAATAAATGCAGTGAGTTAAGAAGTATATAAAAGTGAGCTGGCGGTATTTGTGTTGACTTTCAGAGTTGAGGCGCTGGAGTACAATGCTTAAAACATCAACTCTAAAAACCATAATAAAACAATTTTCTAATGCAATCATGCACACATGCCTGGGTATAGAGTTATCGCGCCTGAACACCACAGCTAAAGCACTCAGTACTGTTCACATTGGCTGCCAGAAGAGGCTCAAGGTTGTCCAAGGATTTTTCTTTACTCGCCGATTTGTTCCGAAATCAGCTAACTGACATCGGTGAACTGGTAATCCCTACTAGGCTGTTCTTAGCTTGTAAATGTCGCGTCATGAACACCGAGAAAAAATTGGTGGAAAGCCCGAATGTGTCGACGAATGAGTGGATGGCAATGACAGTGACTATTGATAATTCACTCTCATAACGATCTCGGTTGACAGTCAACCAACCTGTCCTAGGCGTGGTGATTGAAAAATTTCCGAGACCCGGCCAACGGCAGGAAATCAGCCGATTCTTCGACTTTCACAAAGAAGGGAATAATTTATTGTCTCGTCTTGATTAACATTGCGTTTTCCGAGTGCTTTGATCAAAAGAACACACACTTTTCTTCCCTCAGGTGCATCGTACAATTTTGACGCCTGGATTACTGGATGCAAGTCAGATTGGTAGTGACAAAACCTAACGGAGAGTTCGCTTAGGATAATTTAGTTCGTATTCCAGTCTGCCTAGAGGCACTCATGTCTGCAGTAGGGATAGGTTACATCTGGCTTCAATCAACCAGCCTCCACGCATCCATGAATGCGTCGCATGTCCATTGGGTCCTCAGGGGATTGGGCACCAACACGTACTCTTATAATCCTAGGAACTTTCTGCCCATTTAACTTCCAGCAAAGCAGCTTCTTAAGCCTCTGGGAGTGAGTGGATGACCGTGACATGCCGTCATAGCTGACTGCTCGCATAAATGTCGGTTGGCTTATTCCTCATTGCTGTAAATTTGCTACCATGAGGTAGAGCCAGCTGGCTAAAGCAATACAAAGCCGATCTGCAAGAGTTCGGTACCAGTATTCCGCTTTGCAACCATGTCGTTTTGCACACTCGGTTTAAAACAGTTAACGGGCCATCTGTGTTGAATCCTGCACCTACCAACGAGGAATATATGGTTGATATATTGGTTATAGGGTGACCATTGGGTCACTGTGATCATGCAGTCATCAGTTTCAATTGCATCTGCTATGTGGAATATCGAAATGAAAACCATGAGACGGTGTGCAACGCTAAACGCTGCTACCGCTTAACTAAGCTTGTCAGTGGCACAACCTGGTCGTTCCACGCCTGGCGAGATTTCTTCAACAACCTCTAACGACCGATTACAGACGCTTCAGAGACAAGAGTTTTCAATTAGCCTGAAGTACTTGCTTACCTAAGGGACAGAACTCGAAAATGACGAGCGTATAGATTAGGTCCAACGACTGATACGTGGGACAACTATAGGTAGCCCAAAATAGAAACTGCACTCAGCTGCCCAGAGAAAGCAAAGCCGAATGTCAGCGGAACATCGCACAAGCCGTCAACACTAAATACAAACCTTTTACAAGCACGTAAATGGTCTCTGTAAAATGAGGCAGGGATGTCATCTGCTTCAGACTGCTTATGGCCCAGCAACAACGATTACAGAAGCAGCAACTTCACTGCGGACGAAAAATGCCCCACATTGCAGAAGATCTTGCTATCAGGCTTTCTTCCAGCTTCTGTTGCCCCGCCACATGAGCTCAACAGCATCACTTTTACGGCGGAAACTGTTGTGCAAAAGCAGGTGCGTCTGCACAACCACAGCTCCCCGGGAGTTGACACCTTTCACACAAAGGCACTGGGGCAGCAGAACGACAACTAGCAGAATCTTCGGCCCAGTTCTTCCAGCGCTACTTAGACCAGAACTATGTGCCTGCTATGAGGGAACTTGGAATAATAATACCGATTAAAAAGTGCGTAAGCATGTCTAAAACTTTTAACTACCGCCCATTGTCTCTTCCCCCTATACTATTGTCCAAGCTCATGGAATCCATCATTGGCGATACGCTGATGTGCTATCTGGAAAGCTGCAACATTATTACTCTCGAGCAGCACGGCTACCGTCGACAACGATTTTATACAACTAACTAACTAATGGCACTGTGTAGTTAGACTCAGGAACTGACGCTGGAGTGGATGTTGACATGACATACCTGGATTTTTTGAAGGTATTCCATCATATAGATTATCTGATACTCTTATCCAAGCTCCAGTATTGCGGCATCGGTGACCCTCTTCTAAGCTGGATGGCCAACTTTTTCCGTCAAAGACAATTAGTGGTCAGAGTGCGGAGAACCCTATCTGACCCCATAATACTAGATTATGGCGTGCCTCAGGACGCATTTCTAGGACCGTAATTGTTTTCGCTATTTAGTCATAGCCTTGCACAATCAATCGCTTCAAGTTTCCCACTGTTTCCTGACGACAACAAGATACAACGCACGGTTCATGTGGAGGCCGAACGTAATTTGCCTCGGTGTGATCAACGCACAAATTACCGTATTACAGCTTGAGTAGATGCAAGGTACCCTCCACACGGCACCAGAGCAACTACGCACGCGGGCTCGGAACGCAAGTACTGTAGCGATAACCCATAGAACGTGATTTGGGTGTGCTGGTTTAGGATGACTTGGGTTTCTCCAGGCAATACGAGAAGGCAAAGAAAGCAGGGAATCAACGTCTCTGGATGTTGAGACGTGAGTTCAGACAAATAAGCATCTCTATTTTCTGCAACATGCTCAGTGCGTATGTTCATCGCATCTCGAATGCACCATCCAAGCCTAACCTTCATGGCTGGGACACGACCTTGCTGCACTGGAGCGCCCCCAACGTCGGGCATGCAAACACGTAAACGGAATACGCAATATTCCATACGAGCAGAGGCTGAAACCTCTGGAGTACTCGGTGGACATTATAGCTGATTGCGAGGTGACCTGATAATGACACGCTTGCTTTTGTACTATTCACATCATGTGTGTTGCTCCTTATTGCGACTCGAAAGTACCACACTTCCTAGAGGTCACTATTTGAAGTTTGCAGAGTAGTACAACCCTCCGGAGGGTCGCAGAAACTTATTTTCTATTTGCCTACCGCACCCATGGAACGCTGTCCTTGCATCAATCGTTTTTGCACTGACACCATCCATTTTTAAAAGACGGTTAAATGACGCACTCAGCCCCTTACATTTTGCCACTTAGCACTTTCTATCCATTCTACTCCTTGGATATAACTTGGATGCATTACCTGTCACCCGTTGGTGAAGTGAAAATAGGTGTGCGAGACTACAGTATATCAAATGATCGGTACTTCTTTTGATGGAAAAAGTGCCAACTGCTTTTTATTTAGTTTCTTCCATAACCCAACCAGACTATCCACGGGACTTGCTAAGCAGTGCTTCTTGACCGGTATAAAGTCATTGTTCAATATCCATAGTGTGTCCAGCCTAGTCATTTATCACATAATAATATTTGGGACCTGTTAGATGGCTATTAGCTTATAGTAAGTAGTTAAGTATTTCAAAGCATTTCGATGGGCGCCACCACGGCTGGACATCCCTGGAGGTAGCTTACACTGGCATCGGTTAACTGGCAACTGACCTGGGGAAGTATTAGCTCAAGTTTTCCATCCTACCCTGCAGTAAACGTGTGCTTGCGCGTAACTATGTGGCAGCTAGCAAGAGGCGATAGGCACTTGAAGCTATCAATCTCAGCTCATTATCGTAAGATATGCGAGTAAAATGGAGTCATGAGCTGAAATCCTTTAAGATTCGAAACGAGTGAGTGCTGATGATGGATATTAATCGAATGAATCTGAGCTCTGGTGTCCTTATGAATGTATGTGGGCTTTTTGCTTTAGCCATTCAGTGCGCAGTATAGTCATGAGAGTACTGCACTAAAGCTTTTATCGCAATATCAAACATGGAACACAAGCAGCCGAGGCAGCTTGGTGTATCAGACTGTTCGTATGACATTCATACCGGTAGGGCTCGACGTCTAGACGATGCGACCAGCAGTAAATCAATCAAAACAAATACAAACAGTCCAGAGATAAACGGACACGGGAATCCTGGATTTTTCCTTTCGTTTGTTAGTTTGTTCACACCCGCTTTCTTACTAACCATTAATGTTACGATTATGACGTTGAAGTACCTGCAAAGGAACGCCTAAAAACAAACCACAGTTCAGTGGATAATGATATATTCACATGCACACCCCAAACACAAATACTTTGACTAGC